AGGGTCTGAGCTGCTCACGGCGTGGACGGGTGTGATGACCATTTGCATTATTAGCTCTTTATTATATAGAATTCTTTGTGTATGATTTCATAGTATCTCCCAATGGAGTAGATGAGCCTCTTTCACTTCTTAATGACTTTTAGTTTAGCGCTATGATTTGCTCTGGCCAACAGAATGTTAGTAAACACAATACGAGCAGAGGTTTCACATGGGTTTACAAAAAAGGGTTTGGCCTTTGTACCTCAGACATTTGCCAGGTAAAAAGCATGCTCTGAATAGCTGTTATAGCCAGAAAGAGTGGCTGTGGAGAGACCTGAACCCAATCCACAACTGGTCCACAGACGTGAGTAAGAAATAAATGCCTGAATTATATATATGCCACTGAATTAACTAGAACTCTAGCTTTTTTCAACCTATTAACTAGCAACCCACTCTGCCACACAAAGATACATTAAATCAACTATCATCGAAATTCAAATTTACCTCGTGCATAGATCATTCAACTAAATGATTATGAAGCTCAAAATGCATAAAATGTTGCCTTTAGAATTCTAGTTGGGGGCTGTTTGTTATGTAGCTTTACTGCAGCAGAAACCTGACTAACAGACCTATGGTAATTATTTTTCTCTTTATTAAACACTGTTAATAGTGAGAGAGGCTTCTATTTGTCTTATCTGTAGGTCTATAATAAAAATGTACTCTAGCTTTTTTCAACCTATTCAATTACAGAAATCTTTCTCTACCTTGGAAGACCAAATCTAAACTCTTACCCAAAACAAATAAATACAAACACTCACTTCATTTATCTTTCTGGCTTTTCAATCACCAAACAATACCCAAATCTAATTTTATGCTATTTGAAAAGTCAATTTTCTAATTTTGAGGGTAAGAGTAAGACACTATACCTGGATGTTTTGCTTGCTTTGCATTCTCAATCTCTTCCAAGGCTCCAGACCTTTTTTCCTTAGCAACACCCTTTCATAATGATCTTTGGCTATTGCTTCCAGCTGCTGGTTCCTCTTAATTCTCTTCTGCTGCTCCAGTTCTTTCTGAAAAAAATTAAGAAGTAAAAATGGTGAGGAGGGACCAAGATGACAACATAGGAGGCTCCTGAACTTCCTTTTTCCTTCAGATGCACTGAATATACACAGAGAATTGCCTCTGGAAGAAATCTAGAAACAGTTGAATGACTTCCATATTGGGCGAGTGAGAAAATACCCACGTTGAAAGGCTGAGAAACACTTTTGTCATAAACTCATAGTTGGCACAGCACCATACAATAGGGAGGGAACTCCCAACTCCCAGCTTGCATTTAGACTGCACATCTAAAACCCCAATTTTTAAAACAACCACCCCAAACACCTGGATTTGAAAAACACTGGAGCTTATGTCCACAAGACACACAGAACTATAGCAAAGAAACAGTTCTTACTGGCTGAAAACTTCCCTAACATGGGGAAAGAAACAGATATCCAAATCCAAGAAGCCCAAAGGGAAAAATAAATAAATAAATAAATAAATAAATAAATAAATAAATAAATAAATCACACACACACACACACACACACACACACACACACACACACTAGAGGCCCAATGCACAAAATTTGTGCAAGGGGCTTGGTCCTCACAGCCCCAGCTGCCTCAGCCCTAGCAGCCCTAGCTGCCTTGTGGCCTTGAGGCCCCGCTGCCCCCGCCCATTGGTCGTTCTGGGAGGTCGTTCCAGAAGGTCGTTCTGCCACCTGGTCTAATTAGCATATTAGCTCTTTATTATATAGGATGACTCTAAAGAGACACACACCAAGACACATTATTATTGAACTGTCAAAAGTTAAAGACAAGGAGAGAATCTTAAAAGTAGCAAGAGAAAAGCAACATGTTACATATAAGGGCAATCCCATAAGACTACAAGGGGATTTTCAGCAGAAATCCTGAAAGCCACAGGGAGTGGAGTGATATAGTCAAAGTGCTGAAATAAAAAGGACTGCCAACCAGAAATGCTCTACCCAGCAAAAGTGTCCTTTAGAATTGAAGGATAAAGGGTTTCCAGACAAACAAAAGCTGAAAGAGTCTATCACCATTAGATCAGCCTTATAAGAAAGGCTAAAGGGACTTCAAGTTGAAACAAAGGATGAAACATATGAAAGTATAAATTTGCTGGTAAAGGCAAATTCAGAACACTCTGATATGTAAATGGTAGTAAATGAATCACTTATAACTCTAGATCAGCGGTTCTCAACCTGTGGGTCGCAACCCTTTGGGGGTCGAACGACCCTTTCACAGGGGTCGCCTAAGACCATTGGAAAACACATATATAATGACATATTGTTTTTGTGATTAATCACTATGCTTTAATTATGTTCAATTTGTAACAATGAAATTGGGGGTCACCACAACATGAGGAACTGTATTAAAGGGTCACGGCATTAGGAAGGTTGAGAACCACTGCTCTAGATAAAGGTTAAAAGACAAAGTGTTAAAAATAACTATAGCTATGATAAGTTGTTAATAGATAAACAATGTAAAAAGATATATATTATGACATCAAATACATAAACAGTAGTGTAAAAATAGAGCTTTTGTATGCATTGAAAGTTATCAGCTTAAAATAGACTATAGCTGCAAGACATTTTATGTAAGCCTCATGGTAACCACAAAATATAAACCTATAGTAGATATACACACACAAAAAAGAGAAAGGAATCAAAGCATAACAACTAGAAGAATCATCACATCAAAGGAAGAAAGAGAGGAACAAAAAACTATAAAACAGCAAGAAAATAGTTAACAAAAGACAATATAAGTCTACACCTATCAATAATTACTTAAATGTACACAGACTAAATTCTCCAATCAAAAACATACAGTGGCTGAATGTGTAAAAAAAGAAGACCCAACTGTATGCTGCCAACGAGAGGCTCACTTCAGCTTTAAGAACACACACACAACCATTTGCAACAGCATGGATGGAACTGGAGAGCATTATGCTAAGCGAAATAAGCCAGTTGGAGAAAGATAAATATCACATGATCTCACTCATATGTGGGATATAATGATCAACATAATTTGATGAACAAGAATAGATCCAGACACAAATGGCAGGGGAGGGGGGTGGGCTAGAGAGCCACTAAAGGACTTGTATGCACGCATATTAGCAAAACCAATGGACACAGACACTGGGGCAGTGGGGACTTGCCTGGGGTGGGAATGGCTGGGGGGTGGGGGTGGGGGGTTAATTGGGGGAAAAAGGAGATCTATGTAAAACTTTAGACAATGAAAAAAAGATTCAATAAAATATAAAACAATGAAGAAAAAAAAAAGAATACACACAGAATGAAAATGAAGGGGTGGAAAAAGATATTCCATGAAAATTGAAACTAAAAGAGAAAGGGTAGCTATACTTATATCAGACAAAATAGACATTAAGCCAAAAACTTAACAAGAGACAAAGAAGGTCATTATATCAGGATAAAGGGGTCAACTCATCAAGAGGCTATAACAATTGTAAATATTTATGTACCCAACATCAGAGCACCTAAATATACCAACATACTGAATGGAGAAATAGACAACAATACGATAACAGTAGGGAACTTCAATAACTCACTTTAAACAATGGATAGATCATCCAGACAGAAAAATCAATAGGGAACATTGGATTTAAACTACGTGTTAAACCAGATGCACCTAACAGACATATACAGAACATTACATCTAACCGCAGCAGAATGCACATTTTCTCAAGTGCGCATGAAACATTCTCCAGGGTAGATCATATGTTAGGCCAGAAAACGAGTCTTAATAAATTTAATAGATTAAAATCATATCAAGTGTCTTTTCTGACCATAATGCTATTGAATTAGAAATACAATTATATATTCATTCTTTATACAATAAATCTCCCAAATTGATTTCATTCACTTCCAGAGCAAGAAAAATATTGACATGTTTTGACTCCCAGATTCCTTTCTATAATCTTGATGTCTAGACTTATATATTCACCTGCCTATCTGACATATTTATTTGGATGTCTAATAGGCATCTCACATTTAACATGTCCCTCTTGTAGAGGCCTTTCCTCCTCAGCATCCAGCAGCTCAAATATCACCTTCCAGAGAGACCTTTCCCATCTTGCTTCCCCTATCAGACCTTCCCTTCCCTACTTCTTTCACTGTTACATATTACCTGTTTTCCCCAGCTAGCATATACATTTTTGAGGGCAGGGCTTTTGTTTGTCCTCTCCACTGCTCTATTCTAACACCTAGAACAGTGGTCGGCAAACTGCGGCTCGTGAGCCATATGCGGCTCTTTGGCCCCTTGAGTGTGGATCTTCCACAAAATACCGACTTCTGCGCATGGGCCACGAAGTTTCAATCGCACTGTACATGGCGCCCGCACGTGGTATTTTGTGGAAGAGCCACACTCAAGGGGCCAAAGAGCCGCATGTGGCTCGCGAGCCGCAGTTTGCCGACCACTGACCTAGAACAATGCCTAGTACATAGTAGATTCTATAAAGATATTTGTTAAACAAACAAATATGCTTGTTAAGAAATTATGGAAGGGGGGTAGGGGAGGCCAGGGGATTGTCAAGGGCGGGGAAAAAAAAGGGACACATATGTAATACCCTTTGTAATACTTTAAGCAATAAAAAAATAAAATAAAATAAAATAAAAAGAAATTATGGAAGACTTAAAATCTTACCTGGTCTTCTCTGATAAATTTATCTTTTTAACCACAAACTTCATCAACTGTCTATCAATCAAAAGCATATTTATATAGCCATAAAAGTCATTGTCTGATAAGGGTTACTAGAAAGTAAGCTTTTAACAAAAATGAGCACTGAGATGTTAGGAGGGGTTTAGATTTTTATTTTTAAAAGGTCATTGTGTGAGACCTGTGAATGGCCAGGTTACTGCTGCACCTGACACTAAAGGACACTAAGCCACCATTGGACTATCATTGACCATCCTGTCCCAGGTGGTACTTCCTGCCATTACCAGTGGCTCCCTCGCTGAAGAATGAAGCACATCTAGGTCCAGGGGAATTGCAGGTAACAAGGAACTTTCAGAGGGGACAGCCAAGTCTTGATCCTGACCCTGGAGGACTTTTTCCTCAATATGGAGGACAAATAGGTCATGAGCTTTTTCCTGAGAAATTCTTCCAGTTCCTTTATCCTAAAACTGATATCACAGGACTTACCTTGCATTTTCTATCTAAAGAAATATATGTGAGTTCCCTAGAGAACTTCTTTACCATATCAACAGTCGGGTTGATTATCTATGTAATTAGAAATTATGGTACCACTTTTGCACAATTTGCTGATAAACTTGAGCAAAAATGTACCCAACTAAAAGAGGTGAAGCAGGCTTCCATCAAGCACATACAGAATATGACTGACTTTGAGACGTCAGGCACAGGTTCAGAAATGTAATTATCTTTTTGATGTCCAGAAGAATAACACTGCTATGGCCTTGAAAGTCGCTGACTGTGAATGGCTCTATAAAGTATAAAGGAGGTAAGAATCACCTCAAAAAAGGAATAAGACCACAAAAGATAAACTGGGTGGAGAAACACACTGTGTGGAGCATCTATGCTAGAGCAAAAGGAGATAAAGGCCTGGGACATTTTAGAGCTAAAGCTCTTGGCAAAGAAAGCTCAAACACATCCAGTCTGGAAATGCATCTATCTCAATTGAGACAGCTACCAACAATTGACTTACTTAATAGAAACTAGTCTATGTGACAACATCTTTTTGTCTATTGTTGGGGACTGAAATTATATTTCATGTTTCCTAAAAAGGAAAGATTTCAGCTTACTATAGTGAGAGAAATTAACTTATTGGTCAGTAATGTATTTCTCATCCTTCTTGCCTTGCACAAGCTGTATTCTCCCAGCAAGAAAAAGCTGGACAGACAGCAAATTAATAACTTTTTATGAACCAATCAGAGAAGTGAAGCCATTACAAATCTGGAGAGACAGGCACCTTTAGGGAGACACAGGACCCAAGCATTTGCTTATCTGAGGCAGAAGCCACCATACACCATATGAG